CATGAGGGGCTCTGAGACTAACCAAATTAAATGGTGAAATAAAAAGTTTTCTGCCCATTGGATCAAGTTTATCTAACTACTGTCAGTTGCCCATCACTGAAATGCAGCTCCTGAATAAGGTGGGGCAAGGGACGAATAATGAACATTTTGACTTTGACACAAATGCGCTATTATTGTTCTGAGTCCCATTCAAGGTGTCTACAGAATAAAAATACCAGTGTCCCAAAAGATACTTCCAGGTCTAAGTGTACTTGGAAACTGAACAATCCCTTGAGAAAGATATTCCCTTAGGTCATGGCTGAGGTGCCTTGGCAGTGTGGGGTGGAATGTAGGCTCTGCAGTGACCGATATCATACCTGCTCTGTAGATAATTAGAGGACTCTGACCTAAAGGACTGTCACTCTGTCATCTTGTCCTAGTTTCTAATTCACGCCCATACAGATCAGATTGCAGGATCAGGGTTTAGGTGTCTGGGTCAAAAAACACATGGGGTTTACTCACATAAGGATGTTTTCTCCTGTGGGGTTTTGCAGAATCAGGCTCTTGGTATACCCAGGAAACTGCTGAAAATAATCATAACTGAAGTTCTGTCAAATGCACAATTTAGGCCCACTGAGCAATAGAAAAACAATAGTTTTTCGCTAACTCTTACTGCAGTAATCGTAGATGTTATTTATAATCACGGAGTGCACTCAATCTTTGTACAGATATGTAATTTCCACAATTGACAGTGTCCCTTTAAGAAAAAATAAATAAAACCCGAAGAGAAAGAATTAAAAGGAAAGACGGACACCAATTCCATTTTGTCTCATGAGTCTCTCTTCACAAATTGTGAACCAAAGTGTTTTACAAAACTGTCTAATACAAGACAGAGAATGGCAGGAAAAACAGAAAAGATCTTTTTTTGGTCTATAGCACATTCCTTAGGTCAGTGTAGAGTTGAGCCTATCATGTGAGCTGAACAGCAGTGAATGAAGGCCTTATGCTTTATTAAATTCTCCTATTGTCCCGTTAAAGATGAGCACAAAGCATAACAGTCCCAAAGATGTTTTAAGTCTTTTAAGTCAAGTTGGCAGAGAAAAATCAGTAGGGATTAGACCCTGATGGCTACAAGCAAACTTAAAACAATGGAGCAGTGGAGTTTAAGGCCTGGCTTCATTGAAGTTACGTTGGGGATTAATTGTGACCATTTATTTTAGCGGACAGTAGTAGTAATGGCAGCTATATCACTCCCTTGTATGCTGTTACCTATGGAAATGTAGCTATGCTAGCCCAGTGGATTATCTAGGCTTGGGAAGACCTGTGATCTTCTATGTACCTGCCTCCACTGTTTCAGCATCCACACCTAAAATACATAATGCAGGATTTGAGCGAGCCTGTTAGCCCAGTTTTCTTTTATAAAGTATTACACTGAAGTTTAGAAAATTTCCAAAAGCAGCTGTCCACTAAGGAACTTCATTTAAAACATCCCTGTCCAGGCCCCTTAGAAAGGGGCTGTTCTAGAACTCGATGAATCTCACCTATAGGCTTATTTTTCGACAATACTATTTGGTGCCAGGACTGGTTTCTACTTTTTGTTTGTGTAGTACCTAGTGCCACATGGATCTGGTCCAGCTGAAGTTTCTACACACAGCTGTGATACAAATAAATCATGGTAATATTCAGTCTGTTTTCTCTGTATTACTTTCACCTCATTCTTCCTAGCCAGTGCACAACCTGCAGTACTGAACTATGGACATCAGTGGACGGTCAGGGTGTCTAACCCTCTCTTTAAATACCTGCAGGCATGTTTTGTGCCCATTTAGGGACTTGCAGCAGGGCCGAGACAAAAGATTTTGATTTGGCCTAAGTTGTCTGAATCCAGGATTGTGGTCCCTGCATGCAGTGCACTTTCTCCCAAAGGTATTCTTGATGTGATTGCAGTGAAGTTGCACCAGGGGTGAAATGAGCTCATTCTGTGTAGCAGGCAGCACAGGATATCAAGTACAGTAAAGCCTTAGCAGAGGTGAAGGTGTAAGCTGGTGACTAAATTAAAGCATTCACTTCAGCTGTGTTCAGATAATGTAAATCTTAGGTTGTCCTTCCTGTCGCACCTTTTTTGAGGAAGGCGCTTTCCTTTGAGCAGCCACATCAAGGGAAACTGTGTGAAACGTTGTGCCCTCAGTTCGCAGAGGCTCCTGCCAAACTTCTTCCAATTTTACTTTGTGACCTCTGACAGGCAGAGATTAACATCAGGGTGATTGAAATGGGCACACCCTTGTACACATGATGAGCAATCAGAGGGAGATACTTTCAGCCTGCAGTTTCAGGGAAAACCAAACTCAGAAACGGGGGCTGCCAGCATAAAAAGGTTGTACTAGGTGAAGAACTGAGCATCAGGAAGTGAGCTCCGGCTTGTGAAAGTTTGTACTCTCTCTCTCTCTCTAGATATACGTGTATTCAGTTAGTCTGTACATGGGCATATCTACACTGACTCCAGACTAGTCCAGTTAACCACTTCTCTCTAGGAAGACACTCCTAAAGTGGTAAGTAAGCACAACAACTTGGTAGGATGGATACAAAACAGTTTACATGTCTGTAGCTCCTCCTCTTTGCTTATTTAATGGGCTTTAGAAACAAGGAAGGGAACACAAGCTCCCAGCCTGGGGCAGCCTTACCCCAGGCTAACTGGGTGCTTTTACCTTGGGGAGAACCAAGGCACCTTTACCCCGGGGTAACATAACCACGTACCCTTACCCCGGGGATAACTGGGGCACCTTTACCCTGGGAAAACATAACCAGGCACCTGTACCCCAGACAAATTGGAGACCTTTACCCTGGAATAACCTGGTACCTCTACCCTGGGAATAACTGGGGGCACCTTTATACCAGATTAACTGGGGACCCTTACCCTGGAATAACATACCAGGGCAACATTACCTGGAATAAACTGGTACCTTTATCAGGGGATAATCAGGTGCCTCTACCCTGGGGTAACAGGGCACCTTACCCCAGGATAACATAACTGGCCACCTTTACCCCAGATTGACTGGGTACCTTTACCTCAGATTAACATAACTGGGCACCTTTACCTGGAATAACCCGGTACTTTTACTAGAGGATAATTAGGCATCTTTACCCCAGATTAACATAACTGGGCACCTTTACCCTGAGATAATATAATTGGGCACCTTTACTCCAGGTTAACTGAGTATCCTTACCCCCAGATTAACATAACCGGGCACCTTTACCCCAGGTTAACAGAGCACCTTTATTTCCCCTGGGATAACTGGGTACCTTTACCTCAGATTAACATCACCTGACACCTTTACCAGGGATAACATAAGAGAGCAACTTTACCTGGAATAACCCTGCACCTTTACTAGAGGATAACCCGGCACCTTTCCCCCGGTATAACATACCGGGGTGAAGCGGGGCCGTGTCGGGGTACCTGGGGACTCTTGCCCCGGCGCGCTTCCTTCCCAGCCGACCCCGCCGCGGCCGTG